AGAAAAACGACCAAACGGTTGACACTTTTTTCGTTTTATTTATTCTCAATGTTTCTCGCAAGAGCGTTCAAGGCGCTAACGCATCATATTTGGTCATTATGCTAATTCGTTAAAATATTTGCAATTTAGAGAACTCGACTGAGGCCGAATTGGTAGACTTACTTTCAGAAATGAATATGATGAAAAATATCGGAAAACATAAAAATATTGTCAATCTTATTGGATGTTGTACACAGAATGGTAAGAATGCGTGTCAGTTGACTTTTTATGCTCTATGTACTGTTTATTCATCTGGCTTTTCCATGTCATAGATGGGTTTAATTAACTTTTCCTTATGCATGCAGGAGAACAAGGGGCCATTTATTTTAACAAATCAGTTTTGAGGTGTTTTTAAAAAAACATAATAAGCGTCCTCTTCCAGTGTATAGAGTAACTTCTCAAGAAAACTAATGTTTTAAGAGTAATTGAACGTGAAATTTAACTTAATTTCCAAGTGTTTTCCACATAAATTGAAAATCTATAGTAACTAAAATGCTTTGTATGTCATGTTGAAGGTCCTCTTTTCATGGTGATTGAGTACGCGAAGTTCGGAAACTTGCGTCAATTCCTACGAGATCGCAGGCCAGCAAACGGCGAGTTTATTGACACGTCCACTGAAGAAGACAGCTCGGCTGATGGTGAGAAACGTAGCAGTGAAGAAGCAATCACTTTATCTGATCTTGTCTCATTTGCTTTTCAAATTGCACGAGGAATGGAATATTTGGAAAGTAAAAAGGTAGCAACTTCTTCATTCAAAATATTGATGGCAAGCCCTAGGAGTATTAGTAAACATTGTTACGGGAATATTTGGAAATTACAATATTTCCTGGAATGTTTGGCCACTCATAGAAACATTATCCAGGAAACAAACTCTGCTTCCTGGAAGCTAAAATGTTTACAAAAAAATACAGAAATATATCTTGCTTTTCCAAGTGCGATTTTTGGTTCGCATACAATGCTTCCTGGTTTGACAATCTTCTTGAAACATGGCTTGGAAACAATGTTTCCTGGTTTGCTCACCTTTGTGAAATATGGCAAAATATAGGGTAACAATTTTTCCTGCTTTGTCGATCTTCGGGAAACATGGCTACGAAACGATATTTCGGCAACAACGTTTCCTATAGATTGGCCAATGGGATTAATTTCGATAGAAGTTAACCGTATTAAGATCCAACTTGTTTTTTCGACCTATTTTTGGTGAAATGTTATTTTAGAGCCTTTCATAGAATTGACTTCATGAATTCATGTCTGTATTCCTGCAATTGTTTCAGTGTGTTCACCGAGATTTAGCGGCAAGAAATATTCTCGTATCGGAAGACAAAGTTTTAAAAGTTGCTGATTTTGGCTTGGCTCGGGATGTGCATGCCATGGATTATTACAGAAAGACGACAGATGTGAGTTGGAAGATTTCTAGACACAGTTTGCTGTGATAAATTGTCATGTTCATTGAAATCTAATTTGCTCGAATACTCTTCTTGAATTATCTGTTCTTATCTTGTAGGGTCGTTTGCCGGTTAAGTGGATGGCTATTGAAGCATTGTTTGATCGTGTTTACTCTTCCAAAAGTGACGTGTAAGTTGGAGTTTTTTATAGTTAGATTTTGATCATGGATGACGAATGAGCTTGAGAAGACAATACACCGCATTACAAGATGAACTAAGATAAACAAGTTACGATAATGTCAATGAGTTTGTTTCAATGCCCATCTATACATAATATAATTAGTTATGTACAATTCGTATCTTGACGTATGATATATAGAGCTCAATGTATCGCCTTAACTCATAAGCTAATAAATTGGAAATGTGGCTTCGGCTCAGGGTCGGCATTCATTTGCCAACGTCCGAATGATACGACTTCTCGTAATATCATATCGTGAAGAGGACCCTTTATAGGTTATAAACTCAATTCGTCATGAGTTGTTTCTTATATTTTAGATGGGGTTTTGGTGTTGTTCTGTGGGAAATACTCACTTTTGGTAAGTTTATTTTAATTTAACTCTTTTGAACCAAGTCCAAATATTTTCCTCTTTTGATGGGGAAAAGATCTGCTCTTAGAAAGCGCTGGGTGGCAGTGTCCAATACTCATCAGTGCTGGCATACAGCATATTCAAATAGTAGATATCGTTATGTAACAAGACTATGTATGAGTGATTATTTAATATAATTGAACAACAGAGCGCATTCAACATTGGCTATCAAAGCAATATCTATTCAAAGTCAGAATTATCTTATGGGAAGCATACATGTTTCGGGGCCAGGAGGTACCCAGTGTTCACCTATATATAGTCTTGCGCAGAGCCCCGCCCATCAAAAGCATTCATAGACTTTAATTGGTCAAATTTTGCGTACTGCTAAAAATATTTGTTGTTGTTTATTTAAAGGTGGCACTCCTTATCCAAGTTTACCAGTGGAAGATTTGTTTGAACTTCTTCAGTCAGGATATCGAATGGAAAAACCTCATAATTGTCCACAAAATATGTAAGTATTGACGAGAATATAATTTGGTTATGAATTTTTGGTATAGTGCGGAATAAGAACAAAATGGATAAACGCAAAGCATATTAACTTGTTTGTACTCCTTAGTAGAGTTTTGGTGACAGTGACTTTCACGAAGATATATTTCAGAAGAGTGTTTGTAGCTTAATGACTCTCCTAAAAAACCACAGGTTTTCTTGGTATATTCCACCTGGAACAACAAGTCATTTCTTTTACTGGACCTCTAGTAAAAACAGTTTAGAACTGATGGACTTATTCTGTATAAATACAGTTTTAGTAGAAATTTAGAATTATACAGTATTTATTAATTTTTTTTTCTTTGCAGTTATGAGATTATGCAGAACTGTTGGGCTGAGAATCCCTTGAATCGACCAACATTTCCGAATCTCGTTCAAATATTTGATTCCATTCTCACAAATCTCCTGTCTTCGGTAAGTGTTCATGGTTGAATATGGTTGAATGGTGATACAGCAGTAGAATCATGTTTTTTTTTCAAATTTCGAATAAGTTTCTTCTCGCTAGGTTTGCGTTGCGATAAATTATTAATTATATTGAGTTTCTCACTCATAATAATGCATTATTTGTGTACTGCAGTTAACCCTATACCTCATTCTTTCTTCAGCAATACATAGATACGGGATCATCAACCTGCGAGAGATTGTTGTCAGGCACCAGTGATACTAGCGATGGATCTTCGGGCGAGCAAATTCCGCACCAGATTGCGTTGTCCAATGATAGTGTTTTCCGACGGGACAGTTACCCGACACAAGCTGAACTGTCTAACCTGCGAACAGGACAGACAAGTCAACAAGCCCAGCAAGAACCTTCAACCTCTGGAATCAAACCTGCGTCCTCTTACGAACTATTGTTAGCCAAACGTGAGCCTTGCGAGAGTGATGTATGATGGGATATTCTAAAAACCAACCAATTGGAATTAATTGTCAAAAATCACTTTTTTGTCACCAAGAAAACTACACAGGGACTATCAGAAGTTCAGGTCCGTTTCCAATTGATGCCAATCAACAAACTCACAGAAATCACAGAAGCTGTCCTCGAACTCGCACAACGCAAATAGATCAAGAAGCTCTAACAACCAATAATTAAAGATTAACTAACTGTAACTAAAGATTCGTAAAAATTGACACTACTTAGTGTAAGGAACACATAATAGTTTGAGGCAATTTAAAGTATGGGTTAAAACAGTCTGATAGTGTTAGGGTTAGATTAGGGTTAGGGTCAGGGTTATATAATATGACTAACTTTCATGATCACACACCTTATAATTTGCTCAAACTGTTACATGAAGTTCTTACCAATTCCCCTCCGGGGTAGCTGGCCGGGGTTAGGGTTTGCGGTTAGGTTGCGGGGTTAGCAGGTGGGGTTAGGGGTTAGGGGTTAGAAGGTGGGGTTAGGGTTAGGGGTTAGGATTAGGGTTAGGGTTAGGGTTTGAGTTAGGATTAGCGTTTGGATTAATTGTAAATCCATTGTAACCAATACTTTATTGCATACAATGGCATTACAACGCCACTAAATTATTGGTTACAACGTGCGGAACGGCTGGCCTTTGTGTGAAACTGGAATAGAATGGTGTACAATGTCTACAATGGTTACTTTATAATGATCACGTTTACACATTGTGAATTGTCGGGCGTACTTCTCAATGATATCTGAAAAATATATGGCAATTGTCATCTCACCATATTGCCAACTAACGGAATTTGTCATTTAATTAACATTTGTGAAAACCTCAAATCGGCCCAACAAACCGCACCGTGTGTAAATGTACCTTTATAAGGACCACATAGTGATTGTTTTAGTTTTTTCAATCGCTTTTTGCACCTTTCGCCTCAGCTTGTAATATTTAAATATTGTAAATAAAATGTAGTCATATCCACGTAGGAAATTTCGGTTAATTCGTCGCGTTCGTGTATTAAAGTGTGTAACAAAACGTATATCCTTAGCTGAAACCCAGAGGCTGAAACCAGGGGCTTTCTATTATTACTACTTTTTATACAGAAGGCCTCGGATTGATAGAGACACAACTACCTGAAAAATACAAGAAGAACTTCTATTTTCGTAGCGGGAAAATTACATAAGCTTCTAAGGCCCATTCCCACTCAAGAAAAGTTTACATGGAGACAATTTACCGAAAAATCATTGTTAGAAATTTTCAACTTCAAAATTTTTTTCGACAGAAAATTTGTATCGGCCAATCAAATTTTACAAAATTTTCCTGAGTGGAAATGGGCCTTTATGGCTAAAGCTATAAGTAATATGCATGCACTCAGCAATATAACCGTCACCTCTAACAGACTAACACCTCTGGACTAACACTACAAGCAGCAATTTATAGTTCTTCGTCCAGTTTATTTTGCGATCAGAATGTTTTGCATAATTTGCGCTTTCCCTGCTCAGTCTCCTGTGCTATACGCGGTCAAGGAATTGAATTCTGGGATGCCTGCTCCTATTTCGAAAAAGATATCACAAAATATTTTGTTCAAAACGTGGTTTGATCTTGTTTGAGAGAAATAATTTTAAAAATGTCCAAACGTAGGCTTGATGTCGACGATGTTAAGAAATCTAAGGAAATGGCGTAAGTATGAAGTGTTTTATTTTGATATATATTTGCCAGTTGTTCGCAAAATGAGAGGGCAATTGGTTGTGTGAATGTGTGTTTTAAACCGAGCTGTGAAGGCGGCTGCCGGCTGGGGTATAGAAAATTGTATATTTTCGTCTGCAGGTTTTAAGCTAGTAATTTTGAATGTTTGTACGTTGTAGCTCTCTTGAAAAGTGAAACATTAGTTAATATTTTGCGAAATGTACTTTTTAATTTCATGTAGATAAGCGATATATTTTGTACAGTCATACAGTACATAAAAATAATTTATAATTCTAGGGGATGCGGCACAAGCCTGTCGTATTAAATAAAATTTTGTTCTATGTCGGTGGATATAATGTCCATTTTTTACTAGAGAGACTTGCACAGAGCAAATTAAATAGCAATGTCAAACTGACCAATCTGGTTACTGAATTTTAATATTTTTCAATTCACCTGTTCCTCTTGACAAGTGAAGTCGTCTAGTGTTTAATAGACAGAGTAAAATAGGAAAGCATTGGTGTGCAATGCAACTTAATGGGTTAAAAACAAGGGTGGATAGTAGGGAAGTAGTTGTAGTTCGCTACTGTAGCGAACTACAATTTTCAAGTAGCCAGTAGTTTTTGACTACTTTTTCAAAACAGTAGCTGTAGTTATAGCGAACTACATTTTGCCTAAAAGTAGCCAAGTAGTTGAAGTTGACTACTTTTCAAACAGCAAATCGCTATTCACTACTTTTTAAAATTGTCAGCAACTTGATAGAATAGAATGTTATTAAGACACAGTTTGCTTAAAATCAATACTCAATTTGCACGAATAAAGTATGCCGTGCAACTGTTCAAACTGTGCAAGTGCATGCCGTCTTATTTACTCGCGTAAGTCGATTTGTTATAGGTTACATTACAGCCTGAGCTATAGTAGATGTTCCATATACAGTAAAATTAAAAAATATTGAGTAGCGAAATAGCGAAATAGTTCGCTACATTTTTTAAGCAGTAGCTGTAGTCAGTAGCGAACTACTTTTGTTCAAAAGTAGCAGTAGTTGTAGCTGACTACATATATTTGAAGTAGCTGTAGTTATAGCGAACTACAAAAAATTTGTAGTCAACCCACCCTTGGTTAAAAATATATTTCAGATTTGATTATTTGTGTGAGATTCTTCATTCGGATGCCAGTCAATGCTATATTTTGTTGTTGTCCCTGCCTATTTGCTATTTGATGACTTTTAGCAAAATATGACGCACCAATGACCAGCCATTGGAATTAGGCACAAATTTTCTGGAAGACAAAAATTGCCTCATTATGATCAAACCTGGTAGTAGGGATGCACCGGAACAGGTTTTTTAAGTTCCGGCCGGAACCGGATCCGACCGGAACTGGAAAAAAGTTCCGGACGGAACCGGAACTAATTTATTAAGCCATATATAGTCATATGTTACTTTGTCCGCTGCCAGACAAGCAGACACTTAAAATCATCAAGTAGAGAGTTCGCAAATGTCAGAATAAAAAGACTGACAAACGTTAAACGTCATAATGAAGTGTTAATAGTGTACATTTCCCTTATGTAGTCCAACTTTCTTCCTACTGTGACCTTTTGTTAGACACAAAAACGTTTGATATTCTATCTCCCTGAAAACGACAGTTTTTACTAGTTCCGGCCGGAACCGGAACTCTAAAAAATTGGGGTTCCGGCCAGAACTAACCGGCCGGAACCGAGTTCCGGTGCACCCCTACCTGGTAGCAATTCTACTTTTCACCGTGGTATTTTTGAAGAATATGGTTGAAATTCCGATTTTATTATTTTACTCTGTCTATTGCCAGATGATTTTACTTGTCGAAGGGGGCTCAATGGCATATTTTAGTGACTTTAATATTCATCATCTTTTTTATCCCTTGTTTAGTGATTTTGAAAATCTAAAGCTTAAGATCAAACTCAACCCATACTCAGGTCGACCATTTACAGAACGATACTATGCTATTCTTAAGAAACGACTTCAGTTACCTGTGTGGGAATATAAGGAGACATTTATGGGTATGCTTGAGAAAAATCAATGTATAGTCTTGGTGGGTGAGACAGGTTCTGGCAAGACTACACAGGTATGATGGTAACGTTGAGAAATTTTTATTTTTTACGATAGATATATTGCATTTCTTCTTTGAATGACCAGAATATTACACATACCAAAAATGATATTTGGGGTTAGTTGCTCTTAACTGGATAACAAAGCTATTACACCATATGGCAGATGCTATGGGAGGCCAGGAGGGATGTTGGAATACTATTACAGTTGTTTTACAACTTTGGAAGTTTAAAATTTTGACTCTAACATTTTGAATGCAACCACTTGCAACTTTCATGCTAATCAGTTTATTAGCCATTAAAGGCATAAAATCGTCCGGCATTAAACAAGTAAAAAAAATAAGTAGGGTGCACTTTCGTCCATTGCGGCTCAATAGGTTAACTATAGAGACATTGTTAGATTTTTTGGTTAACCCATTAAGCTGCAGAGCTTCCCCATTGATGAGTAGAATCGTCTGGCGTTAGGCAAGTAAAAAACAATACGTAGGGTCACTGGGTTGCACTGCGGCTCAATGGGTTAATCTGAGTTTAAATTAGTCTTAAATCTGTATCGGTAGACATTCAATATGAACATAAATGGAAATTGTGTGAATCATTTCACTAGATTCCTCAATGGTGTGTAGAAGGAAGAAAAGACCAGCGTAAGGGAGTGGCTTGTACGCAACCAAGGAGAGTCGCCGCCATGAGTGTTGCACAACGTGTTGCGGATGAAATGGACATCATTCTTGGACAGGAAGTTGGATACAGTATTCGATTTGAAGATTGTACAAGTGCTAGGACTGTCATGAAGTGAGTTTAACGATCTAAGTATCTATCAAACCAGTATTAAGTCATTGACCACAATGTACCCTATTATATTCTTCAGTCTGATAACACTCCATTTTACTCGTTTGATAAATACCCAATCTTGTCATTTTCCTGTGTGTAACATCTGGAGATTTGATGTTTGTGGTGTTACTCTGAGTGTGCATCCACACCGGGCAAGCTGAAAAGCTTGCCTGACCACGGTGGGAATCAAACTCACAACCTTTGGGATACTAGTCCAATGCTCTACCAACTGACCTACGAGGTCAAGTTGGTTCGGAAATATCACCAACTCGAACTGTCACCAAAGGGAGAGCCCACTGTGTTTGAATGGGTTAATTAATCTGTTAAGTTGCATTGCATTTGTTTTTTTACTTTGTTTAATTAATGCCAGATGATTTTACTCATCAAGGGGCGAATGCTGGTGCTCAGTGGGTTAAACATGCCTTTTCCAATGCAGGTATATGACAGATGGTATGTTGCTTCGAGAAGCCATGACAGATCCGCTGTTGGATAGATATGACTGTATATTACTTGACGAAGCTCATGAAAGAACATTAGCAACAGATATACTCATGGGATTATTGAAAGAGGTTTGACTATAATATGTGTAATTGATCCTTGAGATACCAGATCTCAAATCAACCTTGTTCCCAGGCTTTCTCCTCTAAGTAGGAGTGTATAAGAATGAGGATGGTTTCAAGTTTCTAGTATCCCACTGGATATAGTGCTGAAAATTCCAAGAGTCTATCATTGAAATCAATAAATTACAGGATTATTTCTAAGTAGCATGATACTGAAATTATTTAACTATGACTGCATGATGCATATATCTACTAACTGTAATGCATCTAAACAATGTAGTATTTCTTCATTGCTTACTCTAACTGTCATAAAATTCAGGTTGTTGCTCAAAGAAAAGATATCAGAATTGTGATCATGAGTGCTACACTTGATGCTGGTAAATTTCAAGAATACTTCAACGACTGTCCGTTATTGAGTGTCCCTGGTCGGACACATCCTGTCGAGATTTTCTACACACCTGAACCTGAACGGGATTATCTTGAGGCCGCAATAAGGACAGTTGTTCAGATCCACATGTGTGAAGAAGTTGAAGGTGATATGTTGCTTTTCCTTACTGGGCAAGAGGTAAGCATGCTTAGAAAGCCTTTGACTTGTTCAGGCTGAGCTTTGTCCTCCGTAAAGCCTAGTTCTCATTCATCGTAAACCGTCGGCGACGGGAGCTTTGCGACGTCGGCGACGGCTTGCGATTTATGAGAACGCATCAAAAATTATATCGCCGATTGTCCGTAATCGTCGCCGACCATCGGCGATGACATCGCAGGAAACAAAAAAGTTTGTTTCTTGCGACCATCGCCGACTGCCACCTGCTTGAAAAACCTATGAGAAATGAGTAAAAGTTGTTTTTTCCTCAACAAGCAAGGAAATAATCAACTGAAGTTTGACAGAAATCATGAACTTTACGTTTAATGGGGCCATTTTGTGCCTTGGTGGGAAATTTCGAAACACATCGGCTGTCATCTGCGACGATCACCGATGTATGAGAACTTTCGTGCATTCGCGCTCGGCGAGTATCGGCGATAAGCGTCGCCGATCGTCGGTGACAGTTTGCGATGAATGAGAACTAGGCTTAATTATACAGCTCCACTGTAAGAATGATTAGCCATACACCCCCACTTACCTTCTTATAGTTACCGTACTAATTGTATTAATTTATAGAAGTATTCAGCTTTGGTGGCTATAGATCTACCCTAGTCCTGTAGGTACTGTATCTATATAGGGTTATTCAGGTCTTTTTTATCATGCCCCAAAAACTCGAACTTGAATTATGTTATGAGACTCATGGTCTAACCAAGAGTTTCAGTGCAGTTCCCTGCTAAAAATATTTGCCATCCAGGTGCTGTAGTAGGTGTCTCATCTACTAAAAAAAATTTCAACAATTCCCATTAAACCATTTCGATAATTACGTCATTTGGCCTGGGAGCCTCACTCTCATGAATTGTGAGCCAATCACATTGCATAATTTACTAATGAGAGCAAGGCTCCAACACCAAAACGTATGTGTGACGTAATTATCAAAAGGGTGTATTCGTTTTTTGTCTGTGATCAGTCATTAAATTATTTAAAATTCTCGTAGGAAATTGAAGAAGCTTGCAAACGTATGCGTAAAGAGATGGATAATCTTGGTGGTGAAGTTGGGGAACTTAAATGTATCCCACTTTACTCCACATTACCCCCACAACTACAACAACGTATCTTTGAAGCTGCGCCGCCCAACCGTGCAAATGGAGCAATAAGTCGAAAGATTGTTGTGTCAACCAACATTGCCGAAACCTCATTGACCATTGATGGTGTTGTCTTTGTGATTGATCCTGGATTTTCAAAGCAAAAGGTTCGTGTTCACTCACCTGAGTCCCATTTTTTGACCGGTCAAGAGGCATTTTTGGCTGGTCAGTGTCCATTGACCGGCCGTTAATTTGAGTCCTGACTGACATATGGTTCATTTATACAAGAGATAATCGTCATAATCCAGGGTCTGAAATTTGATTTTTTTTTAAGTATCCACATGGATACCAAGGTTTTAAAATTTGGTATCCCTCCCGATAATCTAGTATCCCAAATCGGGATACTTAACTAGTTGACTTTTCGTATCCCAGGGCCAGACACAACATCACTTTAATGCTTACTCTTAGTTAAGCATTTCCATCCATCGCATTTTATGTTTAATATACTAGAATCCTAAAAGGAACTTCACTGATATTTAATATCAACTTCACTGATATTTAATGGTAACGTTACAGTATGCACTCAAATCTAAATTTAAAATCCATCAAAATCACTTTCATCTGAATCGGTGTTGAATAACTCAAGCATGTCATTGTTGCTAATTTGATCTTTATCTGAGACACTCGTAGTCTCAGTGTGAGAATCTGAATCACAATCTGAATCACTAGAATCAGATGCATCAGCATCATCACTGACAGAGAGATCTTCATCTGGTCCAGCAACCAGGGGTTCTTGTGACTTTTTGTGTGTTCTCCACCTCTTTTGGTTGGGACGTCGGCCTCTAATAGAACGTTTGTTCCATGCATGTATTGCTGGATCTGGGTTGAACAACTTGATATCTGCACACTCTA